TTTTTATGTTTTTTGTTGTAGAATTAACCATATTTTTATAAAAAAAAAATTTGCGGAAAAAAGTTAGAATAAAAATTGTTGTATATATTGTGAAAAATACTCTTTGCCAATACTTTTTTCCGGCAGTGTAAATGAAAATGGCTACCGCCACTAATATCATAACGGGCTTTTTCGGCCTGCGTGTGCCTGCGTGGCCTTATATGGTGGGAGCGGACCTGACATGACNCTACCGCCACTAATATCATAACGGGCTTTTTCGGCCTGCGTGTGCCTGCGTGGCCTTATATGGTGGGAGCGGACCTGACATGACCTAGCTTAAATAGGGCCTTTTGCATTAATGGTGACCAGTATGCGCGAAATTATCGTATGTGACATTTTTTCGAAATTTACTTTTTGATGCGAATTTTTTCTACGCCCCACAACGCAACACCTGCGGTATATTTCATAAAAGTGACAGGTGTGACAGTTGTGAATTTTTCCGTAATATTTCAGAGCCAGAATTTTAGGCGACATTCTTTCTGTTTCATACTGACAATAGTGCTGACAATTGTCACTCTGACAGAATATTCGCGACAAAATTAATTAGTCACCGTCGGAAAGTTTTAACAGGAGAAATTTTCAACAATTTGAATATGTCTAAACACTAAAATAAAGTAAATGCAACTATTATATATGAATTGCATATAAATGTCATATGACCCGCGGGAAATTTTGCCAAACGACAATTTTGTCACTTCTTCAATGGAATTTTTCATGGAATTCAAACGACCGTCACAATTGTTTTTATACTAGTTTTAATCCGAGGAATACGAGATTGGACCTATTTTTTCGTATGTGCCATACAAAAGTAATTTGCACAAAAAATTAAATTAAAAATGTTTTGAAAATTTTGAAAAGTAAAAAAATGCTTTTCTTTAAAATCTGGTTTCTGGCACATATGTATGTACGATAATTTCGTGCAGAGGGCGTTGAATTGTTACAAGTTAACCAAGTCCGTATGCAAGGCCAAAATTTTTTTGCATTTTTTATTATTTAAATTCATAGATTTAAGTAGTTGTATGTGTGTATTTACACTATATGTATGCGTGTATTAGTAATTTTAAGCAGTCGAAAATTTTTAGGCACATTCATATCTGCTTGTATGTAACATTTTCAAATGGCACCTTTTGCATTAAGGGTGGCGATAACTACATATACACACACCTACATATGTATGTATATAACCTAATCATCGAATTTAGCTGTTTTTTTTTCAAAAAAAAACGATTTTTGAAAATTATGTTTGGCACACTTTTATAAAACCTAAAATACATTTTGGAGTGCTTAAAGGTTTTAAATATTTATGTGCAATATATAGATATTATGCGCTTTGTTGACTTTATTTTGTATTGTGCTATTTTATTGGTGTGTTATTTTATTTAGGTTTTTTCTTTAATTAAAATATTTATTTTATGCTTACCTCTGCACAACACTGGTTGTCGCGACTAGCGATGGCCAAAGAGTGCCACGTTTACACAATTCCAGCAGCATATTAGTCAATTGCCCCAAACCAACGATCTATAATTTATCGTTAAACATTTTATGGTTTTGTACTATTATCGAAGGTTTTTTCTCTACACAAATTTTTTTCGACATGTTATCGATATGGCCATCGACCCATTTATTGTTATTTTTCTATATCGATAGCTTAACCGATCGATATATTTTCTCTAACACATGATATCGATATGGCTGTCGCCTCATTTATTGTTTATCGATATCGATAGTTCAAGCGATCATTATAATTATCGATAAATTCTTTTTATCGACATGTTTTTCGATACTGTTATCGTTATACTTACCGACGCATCATTGATATAAATCAATTATGTATTTACAAAAAAAAACCTGGTTCTGTATTTTTTCTCTCATCAAAAAACCCATTTCATTGCAATAGGGCGAACGCTTTTTGCCATCGCGTATCGCAATTTAGTTTTGATATGTATACTTTATTTTAATTGAACCTAATTAATTTTTTTATATTTCTTATTTTTTACTTTAATTTCGTTTATTTAATTTAATTTTATATTTTAATTTTATTTTTTTGTCGTCCATTTTATTTGGCCGCAAGCATTTTATTTTATTAAATAGTTATAGTTAATAATAAAAAAAAACTGTTTAACAATAAGTACACATGTTTGAAATTCACTACTTTTTTGCACATACGAAAATATAAATTATTTTTTTTTTTAATATTATATTATGTGTTGTTTTAAACAACTAGTATGGCTTAGCACACATTTTATTAAAATAATAATTCTTTTGAAAAATCTTTTTTATATACCTTAAAACCGAGAGTTTAATTGAAAAAAAAAAATGTTATTTGGTTTAATATTCAACTGACATTTATAAACCATTACATGTAAGTATTGAAGACTAAAATGAATAAAAGTTCAAAGGAGTAGAAATAATATTTTGGGTGCTTGCCGTAATTTAAATAAAAAATCGTCGCTAATTTTGAAAATTATCATCAAATGAGTTTGGATACAATTACTTTGTTGTTTTCATATTACAACTACATACAATAAATCTCTCCAAAACTTTTGCGGAAGTGGCAGTCTTTTCGTATGTATAGTATATGTAATTTCGGTAACGGCTTTAATTTGTATGCTTACAGCGCATGTTTTCGTGGGATGCCCTTGTATTACTATCAGCACCTAATGAGTATAACAACTAAAGTCCAACCATAGAGCATTTCGCAGTAACAAATCCCACAAATACTTACCGCAACAGGCGCTTCCAGCACACGCCAGTATACACTGCAGTACATTACCAGTATGCAATAATTAACAAGTCCATTTTTTATTCAGAAGAATGTTAAGCATTTTATTTATTAATAAACACTAGGATCTTGTATCGCTTTACATTGCGACTATAATAGTCAAGTAATACAAACGAGCTTAAACTGGAGAAAATATTGAATTCAGCAAAATTAATAAACCAAAAAAACATTCTTCAAGTACATACATACATACATACATATTGAACATGTGTAAAGTATCATTTTTTTAATACATTTTGTCGAGATACTAAAATATGCGCGCATTTTCGCATAGCATACAATTGATTTGTTCATACTACAATAATTGTATATACGATTCTTAATTTGAGAGATAAACTTTTTGCTTTTCATGAGCAATTGGTTTAATGTACATATGTAAGTATACCTTGCTGCATCTCAATTTTCACTTTACTCATAACGATGTAATAGCCTGCCACGTCCCGAACCTGCTGTTGCATTGCTAATCGTAGATTGATTCATACGCATTCTACCACGTCCATAACCAGTGACAGTGGTCTCATTATCAGTTGTATCATCGCGCGTATAATCAATGTCGAAGTGCGAAGTATCTGGTTCGCGTGGCACATTTCTGGAACGTGACGACCAAGGATTTAAATCATCAGCTGATTCAATATCAATTGTTCTGATGTGATCAGTACGAGTTGCCTTTGCGGGCGACGGTGAAACAGCCCTTGCGTGCTTCTTTCGCGAGGGACCAGCACCAAGACTAGGAAATTCATTAGTATCATACTTATCTATAGAGCGACCAGTGGCATTGGAGCGTGCCGACATGAATGTCTTGTGGTCATCATAATAAACTTTGTGCTCAGAAATTGCTTTGGTTGCGTAAGTGCTTTCGCTATTAACGGAAATATGTGATTCAGTGTCACCATAGGTGCTTGGTGCTGGATTTATAATAGCAGCTAAGTTGGTTGATTCTGGCACATGACGTCCGGGTATTAAATCAATAGCGATATCCCGACACATGTAATCTGAGAACATGAAACCCCAACGTGTAACGCATGATTGTGTACAATATTTGCTTTTGTCAATATCTTCATGGTACTGTTGATTAGAGAAATTATTTGTAAATTAGTAACAATTTAGTAGCCTCATAGGAGCAGATATAACAAAAACTCACAGTGCAGGCAATGCCAGTTTGATATTCGAAAAAGTCACGCTCAAAATATGCATCCGTTATGTAGTGCGATTTTGGTTGCTCCACTTCACCCATCTCAGAGGTGGCTTCTTTCAGTATGTAGAAAAGATATTGTATGGAATATATCTTCAATTCAACACTATTTGCATTCAAATCAGATTTAAGAAATTCCAATACCGACTCAACAATTGTTATAGAATCGCGATGGGTATAAATTGGTGGATATTCTCCAGTGTTCTCATCGCGTATAAAGTCTACTACGTTATTATAAATCAAACCCAAATTAGACTCGCCTTTAGCATTTGGTGGCAAAGGTAGTTTGTGTGAAGTTTCAGAATGATGTTGTGCCTCATAGTGCAGACCATAGATGTTAGGGCCTTGAAAAAAAAA